TTTTATAAGAGTGCAATGGAGTAGAAGGGAAAACATCAATTCATATCAAGTATTGTCTTGTGAAACTTTTATTTTAGTTAATGTGTGCGAGTGTTCTATGCTGAGATCTAAAAAATATTTACCATCAGTGACTGTCAAAAAAAGTTGGAAGACCACTGCAGTAGTGTTATCTGTCAAACAATCACAGGAAAATCCAACTTGAGTATTATTTTACAGTCATCATCTAGTAATGCTCTGAAGCTTTTCTCTCCCACAATTGGTTATAGACAAGAATTCCACAGAAAGCAGATCTCCCTTGGAAACAGGTCAGAAAGAGCCACTTAACAGCTAACAGAACGGGAGATGCTCATTACGAGGCCCTGGAACACTGACCTGAGGTCAGAGTGACAGGGAGCCTCTGGTGGGAACGTCACAAAGGAAAATTGCTCATCTGTGCAATGTAACGTTTCTCCAGCATCAGCATGTTTTACGTTTTTAAAAGTTTTAATCAAATGTCGAGCAAGAAAACAAAATTTGAGGGGAAGAAATTGAAGCCAATTTAGTTATTAAATGATGTCAAGTAATCTTCATTATAGTGGAAAATGCTCTCAGAATTTTTGCTTGAATCTTGAAATGATTATTATTCAGCCTGTGTCAGGAGCAATCTAACGAACAAGTATTTATTGACTATCAGCTAAAATATGTCTGGCAAATGAATCAAAATAAAAGAAACAGGCTTCAGAGAGGCTTTGCTCTCTGAAGAGCAAATGGATTACGGCGTGTGATTTTTCCTCACTAATTACTTCATTTTAGAACATGGAAATGTAAATAAAAATGATTTCAAGTCCCTTAAAGTAATATTTTATCTTTTCAAATAACCTAATTATATGTATTAGCAGTGAATTTTACAGTTTTCCCATTAATGAGAATTGTATTTGGTGATTATTTCACAATACGTCCAAACAGCAGATCGTTATATAACAACACCTGAAACTAATATATGTCAATTATATCTCAGTTTTTTAAAAATCTAAAAAACGGCTTCTATTTCTCCTTTCTCCACGCCCAGCGGTCACACGTCACGTGCTTCAGAAGGCAGAGCTGCCAGACGGAAGAAGGCAGCTCAGTCTACAACAGGAGAACAAGCTTTGTTGCATGCACACACAAGAAGTATGTATCTTCTGATTTTAGTTTTATATTGTGCACGAGTGTGTGTGTGTGCGTATCTGTGTGTGGTGTGTGCACAGTGTGTGTATGTGTGTGTGAATGTATCTGTGTGGTGTGTGTGTCTAGTGTGTGTGTATGTGTGTGAATGTGTCTGTGTGTGTGTCTGTGGTGCGTGTGTGTTTGTGTCAGTGTGGTATGTGTGTCTGTGTGGTGTGTGCACAGTGTGTGTGTGTGCATGTGTCTGTGTGGTGTGTGTGTCTGCATGGTGTGTGTGTGCACGGTGTGTGTGTGTCTGTGCAGTGTGTGTGTGTCTGTGGTATGTGTGCCTGTGGTGTGTGTGTGTCTGTGCAGTGTGTGTGTGTGTGTATCTATGTGGTATGTGTGTATATGTGTGTGTCTGCATGTGTAGTGTCTGTGGTATGTGTGCGTGTGTCTATGTGGTATGTGTGTACCAATCCTGAGCAGAGAGATTTGGAGATTTTGGTTAAACATGTTAGTTTCCTGGTATTTCCTGAAGATAAAATTCAGGAAACAATAAAAAGGAAACTTTCCATTGAATTGGAAAGTCTATAAACCAAATGCCAGCTGTGTGTCAGGCCTCCACTCTGCTCAGTTTGCCCTCTTTAATTAGAACGCTGCGCAAATGCCCCCCACAGGCTTTCCAGTAACCAGTGGGCAAAAAAGGAGGAAATGGTTATTAAAATGAAGCAAAATCCTTTAACTTTATATTTGAGCAGCATGAAGACCCTCACTGCCTGAGAAATTTTACATCCTCCTACTTGGGAAAGGTGAAACGTGTCTCAAGGTCAAATGCCTTCTCACTGCAGCTGTCTTTCATTTGTTAATGGGCTTCCTCAGACTTTAAGGTCTGATGATAAAGAAATTTGGAAATAATTTAACTGTTTTAAATACAGTGATTGCTGACATCTATTTACAAGCAAACATCTGTCCACCATCAACAGAAACCCCTGGGGAGAATTTTAGGCTGTTTCAGTGTCGTATAAGGTCAAAGGGTCTTAATCTCTCCATTCACTGGCCACTTGAGGTTTTTATGCCTCAGCCTTAATTTATTTTAATTAAGCTTTTAACCCAGTTTATATTTGCATCATTTAAAATCCTCCCTGCATGACACAATCTTAAGGCAATATATATAGTATGATCCATAAAATGATGAGGTTGACTGTTGCATAAGGCTTAGGAAAGGAAGTCCTGCTAACTTTACAATGTCTTCTTTCATAGCACCAATTGTCTAGTCTGTCTGGGTTGACACGAAGATTTCTTAAATCATACTGGGTCTATCACTAGATGAAAAACAGATTCAGGGTGTGTAAGACGAGTAAGGTCAGAGTATTGGGTGTGCAGATGTTTCCAGGAACAGGAAGAAGACAACTGCATTTGATTCCAGAGGGAGCTTCCCTGTGCTCCCCTCTGATTTCTCTGCTGTGATCTGCAGCTCATCAGGATTCAAAGTTAAGGTCAGATGCCAAAATACCACTCTTGATGCCACGTGGCCTATCTGATACAACTGCCTCCAGGCTTTTAGCCAGTAAATAAGTCAGTCACTCTTGTCCTGAATCTGTCTTTATAAAAGTATATTGTCTCCAGTTCAATCTTCGTATTGCATCCCTAAATTCACATTGGGGAAGCCCTGGAAAGTCCAAGGCTCTTGAGTAGAAGGCCTGCGTTCCAACGCAAATGAATGGTTGCCACACTACACTCTGTGTTCCGTGAGTTCTTGGAGCCAGACCCTCCTCCCACACACATCCTGCCAGCAATGCTTCTGCTATGGCTTTGGAGCCCAGGAAAACTCAGATGAATCTGTGTGTGTGTGTCCATGAATGCGTGCATAAAAACACACCTCTCTCGACCTCTAACTCTGCAATAATTAACACAACAAACTGCTTTTGTAAGAGAGATATCTGACGTTCTTGCTTTTTGCCTAATTTTACAGAACTTTAGGGAAATCTTAGCATAGGACTTCCACTCCCCTGCTTCAGAGGCTATGTCAAAGCTGAAACACATCCACCATAAAGGATCTCAAGAATCACAACGTGGTTTTCAAAGAAAGTTGTGTATTGCGTGGAATACGCTTTCTTGCCTCTGTTGTTCGCTGCTGATACCCCATGCCCAGAACAGAATCGAGCATGCCAAAGCATCAGCAAAGAGTCGGAGAAAGCCCACCCGTTTTCAGTCACATGGAAGGCACTTTGCATACCTTGTCCCTCTGTTCCTTGTAACAATGCCGTGTGATGGACATTATGATAACTAGCTCATAAATCAGGAAACTGAGGTTTGAAGACTTTCACTGACTTGCCTAGGCCACACAATTAGTAAGCAGGAAGCAGGGATTCAAGTCTAGGTCTGTCTGCCTTCCTAGCCCATGTTCAGTCCACCACACCCTGCCTTCACCCCAACGGCCGAAGAAAATTAGAGATTGACTCTTGGTCTTTAGCTTTAAGATACCAAAGTAACATATCTGTGTATTGTCATGGATTCAGAAACTCCTCCACGTGACAGGGACTATGTAAAAGGCTGACGGAATACGACAGGAATATAGAAGGCTCCAATCCATATCCATACATACATATATGTATATATATAAATGTGTATGTATATATATTTACATATATATTAATATATATATGTATATGTATATACCTGTGTGCAAAAAGGCAAGAGTTCTGGCTTTCCCACTTTCCTGCCCTGCTGCTATAAATCTCACTAAGTCTCCATTTCCTTATCTGAAAACCGCATAATATGAGTCTTACCTCATTGAATTAAATGAGCAATGCACATAAACTCAGCAAGGACTCAATAAATGTAGATTATTACTAACCCAGAATTATCAGCAATCTTATGCCAATTAATTTGATTGTTTTTAGAAAAGACAACTATTTTTAATTGGAAGGCTCTACAATTATTTCCTATATGAACAAGTGTCTATTTTCCCCTTAAAGAAACAGTCCCTTTGTTCTACTGATGAAATTTTAAGTGGAAACCCCTTAAAAAAGCTTGTAGTGGAGAGGAACGAAAGGTGCTATTTAGAGTCTGAACCCTCACTTGGGGTAAAGAAGGACCCTGAACATTACAGATTAATGAATAAATTAATAATCATCTGGTGAGTCCCAAAGGTTTCTTCCCCTTGCTCTGTGTAAGGCTTTTCAGAAAATAAAATAAAATTACTTGAAAGAACCTCTTCCCTAAGCATGGGTTAGCAAAAAATTGTTTCGTTTTGTTTCATTTTTCTGCACCAAGCTGGCAGTCTTAGAACTAATCAGCTAATGTCTTCTGGACATGACGTTGAGACAATCTCCCTCAAGACAGAAGAAGCTTAGAAAAGCCTGCCCCTGAGAGGCGAGCAGTTCCTGCCTTGTTCCAAATGTGAGCCCTTCTGAAATGGTCTGAAATGGCCTTCATCCTGCTGCCTGGAGACCCAAGGTCGACATTCTCACTCAGCGGGAGCCGAGGCTTTCCTAGTGAACCCGGCTCTGCCGACTGGGCGCTCGGCCTCGTGCAATCTCCCTCTCTGAACAATGCTTCCCGTCCACCAATGAATCAGTTTAAACTTGTCAAAGAGTGAGTGACACAGGTCAGAAGTCGAAGTTTGGATCCAACTTTTACTCTCCACTACTAAAGACTTCTGAGGTAAAACTCAGCAAGCAGAGGGCTTCAGATCTCTCTCTTCTGATTCTCTCCCAAAACATCAGGCTGAAAACGAACATTTTGATCACCTCTCTCCCTGTCTCTCTCTCTCTCTCTCTCTCTCTCTCACACACACACACACACACAGAGTCAAAGCCAACTTGGTTTCGAAGGCTCTCAAATAATAACAACATCAACAAAATGGTGCCCACCTCTCTGAAACTTCAGTCCACAGAAGATGCCCCCAGGCTTGTGAAGAGCAGCCAGAGCCAGCCTTGCAGCCTTGCAGCCAGAGTCCTTCTCATCAAAGAACGACACACCTCATCTCCGTGCGAGCGCCCGAGATTCTTTCAGAGACCCGCCCTCCAAAGTTGCAAGTCAAGATTTTTGACTTTGGGCAATTCCGTGACGTGAGGTGCAACTACTGGATGGCACCTGCAGGTTCTTCCTGACGGGATGTTTCCTGTTTCTCCGCTTGGCAGGGAGAAAACTGGAACTCAGTCAGAAGCGGAGTCACAGACGCGCTAACTGCTTCATTGTCGCTGCATTTCAGTGCACACACTCATTAGTCAACTACTGAACAGGACGGTCTTTGCTGTTCGTATTAAAAGGAAGGGGTTTACGTGGCGGAGAGAAACTTGAAATGCTGCTGACAACCCGGCACCAGCACCCGAGCTGGTCTGCCTGCTAACGCACTCTCCAGAAGCCGGGAGGTCCGGCAGGGCGTTCTGCTAACTAAGCCACCACCACCACCACCACGGCCACGCCGCAGAACTCGTCAGCTGAGGAGCATCAGTCTCGCACACGCGCTTTTTCTGTCTGTTTCCTAGCAATTGAAAAAAATTGCCTTCTCGAACCATAAACCGACCAAAAAATAAAATAATCAGGCCACCCTTTCCTTTTAGAATAGTCATATATAATTCATTGTTTTTATCTGTGTCAGCCTCAGAGAACAATCACCACGGACAAGGGAAGACAAACCTATCCGCAGCAGGATGTACATGTCACTTGTCTGCGTCTGTTTGAGACACTTCAGTGTCACAGGCAGGCATGCCTCCGCTGCACCGCGTTTATCTGAGACGCTGCACCGTTTGGGGCCATTTTCACTTTCTCTCATTTGAAGGTGAAACAGCTGCAGGTGTGGGTAATTTAAAGGTGCTCTGACAAGCAAGGAAGCTTCAACAAGTTGATTCCTGCACCCCTATAAGCCAGACCTCGCCTCCCGGGAGGCCCAGGCGGCACCGCCTGCTTGGAAAGCCTGACTCCAAGCTCTTCTCATTGGCTGACTTCAGCTGCTGAGAGACAGCTCTCCTCCTCTGTCAGCTTAACAGACAACGGCAAAATGAAAGCTGGCCAGAGGCAGAGAAGGGGAAATTCTCTGGTGCTCCACAGTTTCTCACGTTTCACTGATGAATTTAGTTCAAAGAAGGAAGATTGGTCAAGGCCCTTTCACTCAATGCTTGCTCACGCAATCCTTCCTAGTCTGGTTTTCTCTTCCCAGACTTTCTTTCTATTAAGGGGTTTATACACGTTAAGGCTCATCTGGCAGGTGGTGAACGTCCAGCAGAGCAGGCGCTAAATGCACAGACCCTTTTCAGATCTTGCCAGGAGACCATATAGAATTGCCCCGCCCTTCTGACCCCACGCTGCCCATTTCTAGTCTGTCCTCCAATTGCCACCTCACTTACTTTCCTAATTAAGTTTTTGCTTTATAGCGGCTCTCTCGCAGCCACCTTTTCCTATGGGACTCCTCGGCATGGGGGACAGCTACTCCTCCAGAATCTCCCCTTGCCCCTTCCCACTACTTTCCAGGCATAACAAACAGCCAGTGTCTGTGCCCTTCCCTTGGCGGCTCGCAGCCCTCTCTGCCTGATTTGTCTGACTCCCCCGCCGAGTCCCACAGCTCTCAGCCCTCCCTGTTCTGTGTGTGTGGCTATGCCACAACACTTACTCCATTATTATAACTTAACTGGTTTCGTATCTGCTGCCCCACTACACTGGGAATCCCTCTGCGACAGGCCTTAGACATTTTTATATCCCTGGAGCTCAGCCCAGTGCCAAGCTGTTCAACACTAGCCCCAAATTGTGAGCATTTAATTCTGGGGATGTCTGGGGAAGAGGATAATCTTGAACCAGAGTTCAGGATTCTCTTCCTCAGAATCAAACAAGCCAGAAGACTACTGCAGGACTACATTTCTTATGTCACTTGTATGCCGAAATACATGCCATCCACTGATGAGATACAATGTTCACATTAAATGTGAAGTATTTATACACAGCCCAGTACCTCCTCTATTATAATAAGACCCCCATTATCATCGGCTGTATTTCTGAATCAGCATCAAGGTGTAGCTCCTCCTTCTTCAGGGACAGAGGGAAAAACCTATGCAACAGGGGACAACAGCTAGAGAGGTGGAAGTGAGGGGTTCCGGAGGTTTGCTGGTTGTGACTCGGGGGAGCTGCATACCTCCACGTCAGCCTCCTGTGTCTGGGCACGACTCCTCTGAGGAAGGCAGATAAATACAAATATGGTTCTTTCCAGGACTCCTACAGCGAATGCCTTTCTTTTTCTCTTTTTCACTTGTGCCTCAAGATAAATGTACCAGCTCATTGCTAAGAGAAAAGAGAGAAGCCCAGAGCGACAATGACAGGGCAAGACACATCTGTGGGAATCACTTCTTGGAGGCAATACTTAACTGTTTCATTTTATGAGAAAACCTTAGGAGTTAAGACATTAAATCAGTTTTGCATCTGTTGGATCTTCATTAGTAAATATTAAGTCACTTCCTAAAATATTAACTATTTGTGGCTTTTTGAAAAGCGGATATTACCTCTGACAATTCAGTGTAGGCAGATAAAAGTGGAGCGGTTTTGAGGGGAGCAATAGGGGGTACATTGCCAAACAGATGAGTTTTACACACAGAGCAATCTTGTTACTAAGTGTTACCAAAGCAGGAAAGAGTATAAAGCACCTACTAGGGATATTTCAAAGAGAAAAAGAGGGGCGGGGAGAAAAAAAAGAGCAGTGGGCACCAAGGCAAATACAATCAAGATCCTGGAGGGCCACTTAGGAACTCACGGGAGGGAAACGGAGCAAGCCGGACACGGGGAAATGGACGTGGAGCCCAGCAGGAAGCAGAGAACTAGGAGCTGACTTAAGTCTAGCAGACTTAGGTCTGTCACATACTGAGTTCGTGAAGCAAAGGGTTTTTAGACTCTATCTGACATGTACTCTGGGAAGGCTTGCAGTGCTGTGTGCGGCCACATCGCACACCGTCTGTGAGCCGGCTCTCAACAGCCCCGTTCATCACCCCAGGGAGGGCCCGCCAGGCGGTCTTTGCATTGGGCCCTGGCCTCCACTGTGGTCTCAGTGACAGGTTAGGAGGATGTCTCAACTCGCCTCTTTCAGAAACTTTTTGTTGCTAAACCCATCCCACTTTGTGCTCACTATGGGATCTTATTCTCATTGGCTGTGTGACGCCAGGCAAGTTACTTAACCTCTCAGTTCCTCAGGTTTCTCAACTGCAAAATGGGGACGATAACAGTAATATCATATGGAGTTGGGGATACATTAGATGAGTTAATAGACATAAAAGCACTTAGGAGAGTACCTGGCATATAGTAAGCACTCTGTGAATGTCAGCTATGATTATAACAACTATTTTTAATATACTTAATCTATAGGCTTTATTCCCATGTTACTTTGTAGTAGACTTTATTTCTTGTACATAGACAGTTTCTCCAATTAAATCTTGAGTATAAGGACTGTGTAAAGTCCCCAGGTAGCATCCATCACCTGAACATAGTATTTATCCATTAACTCACTCAGCAATTATTTATTGGGTTCATACTATGTGCCAGGCGCATCACGTCATGTCTTTTGAAGGAGCTAAGGATCTCAGCAATAAAAATACAGCACGGCTGCCCAAACTGACACAGACGCATACTCACACAGTTGAGCAGAAGTGTTCACAAACCCTACTATACAGAGTGCAGACTGAAATACACACATGTGTATGCAGTGTGGGTGTATTTACGTGCTCCACACAGGTACAAACTGGGACCACAGCGGAGACGGACCTCAAACATTTACTGTTTCATCTCCTTCACGCATGTGAACATAAGCTGTGGGTTTTATATGAGGAGCTCAGACTACACAGTACGGCATCAGGACACAGACTGAAGTGGACAGATAAACTTTTCATCCTCAAAATCACCAATCCCCAGATTGTCTGTCTCAGCCTGTGCACGCTGGACTCCGTAGCTTTAACATCTACTCTCCTTTACCCAACATTGTGCTGGAGCATTGAAGTAAATATTTCATGCACTTTGAATGGACTTATATGAGTTGCACCAGCACTAAACAGGTAGGAAGAAATAAGAGGTAAGAAGGAGATGAGTGTTTGAATACATATCTGAGCCGTCAATACCATGTTACATGTGACAGGACAATGAGGAGTCCAAATGCCCCTTATCCATCCAGCTGTCATTTATTCAACACGTGTATTGTATAAGCTGCTTGAAATACAAAGAAGAAGACAAAGTTCCCGACCTCAAGGAACTTTCTGTCTACCTTTTCCCTCTTACTCCTATTCTGCCTCCTATCCCATACCCTACATGCCACCTGCCAGCAAAGAAGTGGGAGAAGATATGCTTGGCTAACCTGAGACACCCAAGGATGGGCACCTCTCTCTTAAGCTTGTTAATTTCTGGGTGTGATTAAAAAAACAAAAACAAAAACAGGATGGAGTGCTTTCTGAAAAACACAAGCTGGACTAAATTTCATGATGTTAGCAACTGAGACAGCCCCAAGAACAAGACACTTCTGCCTTCTTATTCACAAAAGACTTGGTTATGCCACAGGGCATTAGAAACACAGACCAGGATTGAGGTTGAGAATGAGTGTGTGTGGGTTTGTGGCTGTTGGACAGGCATGGTCACCCTTTGGTCATTTCCAGACCCTCCTAAGGTTCTAAACCAAATGCAAGTCCCTTCATCAGTTGCTCTTGTGCCACAGTGACTGGAACAACCTGGTGTGACTGAAAGTGGTGCTGAGATTCCAATCCTGGTGGGGGCTGTTTCCCGTCCCTTTCGGGTCCCTGAGGGAGCGCTGCCCTCCTGGCTCGCTGCTACCAAGTAATCTCAAAACACAGCCCTCATCAAAGTACTTCTTTGCTCCAGAATTTATGGCTTCTTTATGCTGGTTACATGAAATCTGAACTTCCATGACTGTCTAGTTCCTAAACTCTCCTCCAAAATACAACCCCAACTCAGGCTATCCCACTTTCCTCTCCACTGTACCCCAATACCAATCTCCCCTTGGGCTGAGCCAGTAGCTGGGATCCCTCCTTATCCAAGCCCC